GATTCTTTATTTTTCATTATTGTTAATATTATTATTATTATTATTATTATTATCGTTGTAATTATTGTTCGTTTCGTTTGAACGACGTGTGAAGCACGTTTTGTTTTCGAACGAACGCGGAAATGGAAAAATTCGAAGGGTATTTCAAAGACTCTAGGTATACACAACGTAATATAGGAACCAGTTCGTTCAGTTTTCTTTTTCTCTCGTTTCTTCGTATTCGCGAGAGGGAGACTATACTTTGCTAACTTCCATCGCGTTCACCGATGCTCGTCTTTCTAGTACAATTTAAAAAAAAAAAAAAAGAACGCCGGCTCGTTTCCGTTAGCCGCGCCATTTTATCTTCGTTGTTTGTTCGTATAATTTTATCAATTCGTAATCAATCTCAAATTGTGCATTGATATTGAAATCTATATGTATATATACGCTCGTTTTAACACGATGACATTACTTGAGATTAAGAAATTCGTCGAGTGAAGGAAAAAGCTGCGAGAAATAAAGGCAGGAAAAAAAATATAGAGGGAGAGGAGAAGAGTGAATTGAGAGGTTATTTTTTGCGGAAAATCGCGCGAAATTAGAATGAGAAAAAAAGAGAGAGGGAAAAGGAACAGAAGATCACGAGATCAGACCAATTATATCGTACATGTTTATCGTTACCGTTGACGGTGTTACGTTTTCTTTTGTTTTCGTCACATACTAACACACACACACACACTCAGAGACACACGTGTACACACGTCGAGAGGACATATAGAATCGCGCGTATTTCCGAACCAAAGACGGTGTCGTATCTCCAATCGTGTTTATCGAATTTCAATCGACCTGTGCAGCTTAGAGTTCTCTCTTCGTTGGAGAACGCGTCGCTTCAATAATCCACTATCGTCGTCACGAGGACTGTATAGATTAGCTTACAGGATATTTCCTTTATTCTTCTTATCTTCTCCTTTTTTAAATACCTCCTTCTACGTACTTAGCGGAGAATCTGTTTTCCCTTGTTTTCTTCGAACCGGTTTTTGGCTGGCAGCGAAAACGGCGCAACAACAGTATCTCAACGAATTTCGGAAAAAAAAAGAAACGTCGGATTTCGTGGACGCGTTAAAGGAAAGGAGAGAAAAACAAGTATTATTCGATGTCACTGTGCTCGATCGAACGCAAGAATCTAGCAGAGATATACATATACATCGTTAAGAGTCGTTTAATCGATTCGAGTGGATATCAGTGGAGGATTTTGTTAGGGGTTAATCGAACGGAGGACGATTCGTCGTGAAACACACTTAAAATAGAGAAAATTAAAAAGCGAGGTGAAAAATGTGAAACGAGAAGAAGTGAAAAGAATAGGAGAGAATGAAGGTCGCGAGTCGAAAGAAAGCTTGCACGAACAAACGACCGTGAGCGTACATAGGATAGAAAGTAATTGCCGTCCAAATAGGTTCCTTCTTTTAGGTCAAAATTGTCAAATCCGAAAATGGTTTCTCGGCCGTACAGTTACAATCGGCACGCGCACTTTTCCGGAAAAACCGTAGTGGAGCGCCGAATAATGCTACCAGTGAAAGGAACATGGCGGTTGGTGAACGCCTGCATATCGTATACTGTACGTTCAAAATAAGAATAACCTCGCTCTCGGACCGATTCTCGTCCGTTCTGCGCGTAGACAGAGAGCGTAGCAGCAGGGGGTAAGACGGAGAAAAACGTAGGCGGTTAAGTGGGGGTTTCTAGCCCTGCTTTAGGAAACGAGGTTATTCTTATTTCGAACGAAGAGTAGTGTTGTACGTATTTATATGCCGGGCGATTTCAGGAAAAAGAAAAAAACAGAACGCTTAGTTATTATTTTTGGTCGTTGAAAATTAAACGAGTTCATATATTTTTTCTTTTTAATTTGAATTGGAAAAGAATTTTTGTGAAAAATTGTTCGACGAATATCTTTTTGTATATTTTTAACGACGAAAAATGTGATGAAACGTTAGGTTTTTAATTGGCCACCGTATACATTAGAGAACGTGTTTCGAACGTTGAAACTTTTATTCGAATTGAACGCAACAGCGATAGCGATGTTTTTAGCGTGTCACGAGGGTAGCAACTATCCTTATGTTCTTGCGATTGTTCTTTCCTTTTATATATACTTCGAGATGTGTATCCAAGATGCACGGTGTCGTGGAATTTTTTGACATGTTTAGACGAAGTTTTTAACAGATCGATCTTCAATGGTACAACCGACTAAGTAGTATTATTCGGCACGAGTCAGACGAAATTTTGATTTCTCTTGTGTCCGTAAAAGGGGGAGGGATGGGAAAGTATTGTCTGAGATAATATACGAGCAACATCCATAAAAGGAAGAAAATAATAAACCAAAA